CGCTCCTCGCTGAACTCTCCTTCGCGCCGACCGAGGCCACGAAGCTCAACGCCGACAACAAGTCTGCTATCGAGTTGTCCAAAGACAATGTTCTGCACGCACGCACCAAGCACATCGATATCCGCCATCACTTCATTCGCGAATGCATCGCCGCCGAGACCATACGACTCGAATACTGTCCAACCGACATCAATTCCGCCGATCTTTTTACGAAGGCACTTGCACGGGATCGTTTTCAGGCCCTTCGCGCGCAACTCGGCATCCTCCCAGTAGCGAGTTGAGGGGGAGTGTTGTAGTACGGACCTCGCGGACCTTTATGTTGTTTGTTTGCCCTTTGTACCGTTGTTGCAGCGCTTGACGTGTCAGTCAAGCGCCTCCACGCTTTGCTGTCCTCCACCATGTATATATGTCACGCCTCTTCTTCGTTGCGAATCATCAGCTTCCCTGCTTCTCTCGATCACCCTCACGCTTGAACTCTAACATTCTTGGTATGGGTGAATCTACTCATCCACTGAAATGGTTGAATACACTACCTATACCCACGGTATGGTCTTAGCGCTGCAGTACCTTGTGCCTACATATCTGACCATCGACAATGTTCGATTTTCAGCGTGTATCTGGGGCACAGACGTCCAATTCACACCCAAGAAGGCTTGGCTCCTCGGGATTGCCGAAAGGAGAGGAATCTGGGTTGTCCACTTGTCAGCAACCTGTCCTTTCTCGAGGACGAGGACAGAGACCGTAGGGTCTTCGCTCAGCCGCGACGCGATGCCCCCGCGGTACCACCTATACCCTCCTAAACGAGCTTCCTAGATTTAACAGATTCCAGAAAGACGTACCTCCGACGACGATGTAGTTGTAGGTGAGTGCAGAATCATGATCTATGAGAGATGTCGTAGAAACACCCACATCGTGGATAGAGACTTCAGGCAATCCTGCCATCGAGGAGGGCCAGAGAGGACTGCGAAGCCCCAGTCGTCGCTGCTAGAGTCGTGTCGCGAGGAACAAGGCTAGCCGGCTAATTTTTGCGCCCGCAGAGCCAGGCGACATGGGAGATGGAGATCACGCAGAAGTACATGTTGCGTGAGAGCTCGGCGTAGGAAAGTGTTGTGAACAGTGAAGAGGGCGTTGACACAATGTCAACCGCCCCGATTCCGCTAAATGCAGCTTGACCGTCGAATAGCCCGTAGGCAAGTGCAGCACGAGTACTTCTTTGCAACGGCTTGAATGTGTGAACGTGATCATTGCGACTGGTAGCTATGTATCGATAGTGCGTAACATGCATCAGACAGGCACGTCTACGCAACTTCAGCAAGTCTTCCTGCTCCCCGTTTTTGTATCCTCATTCACCAACTGCTTTTCACCCTCATAGACAACGCCAGACGTCTGGAAGAGCCTCTCAAGCAGTACTTCCCAGGAGCTCGGGTGCCCCTACACCAGGTCCACGGTCCCAGCCTGTCTCACCATCTCGTCGTCGTCGCAGCCGAGTCGCAGCGCCATCACCGCGTTCGTGGTGAGGTGATAGGGTAGGCAAAAATTGCTGCGAAGTTAAGGGAGTTGTACCTCAGCGGAAGAGGTCATTAAAGCGCCTGTGCGGAGCGGGGAGTGACGCGAGATAAGCGAGGAGGTATGCTGCTCGCTACAAGAGACGTGACATGTCCGCAGAGAAAAAGATGGTGGCAACGACAGACGTAGCAGACCGTATTTCCCGAACATGTTGGATCACAGGGGCTGTTCTCGCTCAGGGAGACAACAACTTGTATATTTCGTCAGGGATGATGAATGGCATAGATTGGTTGCGGAATGGTCCAGGATGAAACCGAGGAGGTCGACAAGACTCCAGCTAGCAACGCCGGCGCCGAAGACGAGATAGGATGAGGCATAGCAGTAGGCGTGGATCGCATGCTCCCTGCCTAGCCAGGTGCCGAATGCGAGGGCGGCGACGACGACGATGACGTAGGATGAGACGTCCATCACACCTGTTCCTGTTGCGAGGTATGTCTGTGTCTGTTACTTTGCGCCAGTATAGATAGGTGCGGAGAGCGTACACTTCAAGTTGTGGTGAAGGACAAATTACATCCCCGACTCGTTCGCCTCGGGCCCTCCAGCCGCAATAGGTGTCCGGGACATAAGATTTTGTACTATGACAAGACTAACAGCGTGAGCGATCGCTGCGAGAGTAAGAGACAGGACATACAACATCACGTGGAGATTGTGTGTTCAGTTGACTTTGACTTTCCCACGAGGCGACGTAGCGCTTGAGGGCTGCAGCCGTCCTGGTCGTCTCCTTGCTCTTCCACCTCTTTCGTTTGCCACTCCCATGACTCCCCCTCCTGACGCAATCGTCGCACTCGTCCCCGCTTAACTGATCTTGTACCTTCTCTTTTGCACTTGCCTTCGTTCCACGTCACCTTGTTTGATAGCTTCGGCTTCAGTTTTGGAACTCTCCACGAGCGGTATGCACTGCATCTGTCGACGAGCGCGCAATAGGTATGCTTCCAATCCAATCACTATCGATCGCCCCCTCCCCTTGGTGCCGCCCACAATTCTCGTGTGACCGTTTCCTCTCTATCGTCTCCTTGGTCGATTGCAACGTGGGTTCGAGCCCCATATCACTAATTTGTCGTGACTTCCAGGCCTCGCATCTCGTGCGACGATCTTGCAATTCTGGTCACCACTGTACTGCATGGAACTCTGTATAGCCGGCGTGCTTTGCGCTTGCGCTTGTACCTATGCATGCCTCTTGCCCCGATCTGTGGGGATGCCCTGTCCGCCTGTCGCTTCTACATGTGAACGTTTTAGAGGAGTACGTCATGTGCCCACTCTTCCCGACTGGTGTTGGCGCTTGTACCGAATGGATGTTTGCTCTTCGCTCGCTCTGTCCTGAGAAACTGGTCTTTGCTGTCGCTGTGCATGATATATTTGATCTTGACGTGTGAAAGATATCTCCGCGCCTGGCGCAACATCATCTGAGGTACTTCGGCGTGACATGACTTTTGTTTGTGCGTACAAAGAGACGTCTTATCGTACTCTGCTACTCGCCTCCCCTACTTCCGAATCAGGTCCTGCACGCGTTGCAAGTCAGTCAAAGGTGCGTGTTGCGCTCTGTCCTCGTGTGCGGCCTGTTCCACGTCTGAGAAACGTTCGATCAGTGGGTGCATTGCATCTCCCTTCTCGACAGCCCGCGCATCATTGCGGTCGGCACCCGGCTCAAGGCCCATCCCAAATCTCAGCAATGGCGCCTCTCTAGGGTTCATCAAAGGGTTCCGGTGCGATGCTGTCAACCACGTCCTCACTCGCTTCCCCTTCCTAACTTCTTTCCGCTCTGCGACTGCCATCGAAGCTAGCCTGGGTTGTCTGCACTGTACCACCGCGTCAGCACGTTTCGATGCAGGAGCAGACGCCCGCTCCGCACTCCGGTATGTTCTCATGAAGTAGCAGTTGCATCTCAGTCCATCCCCATTCCCTCGAAGTTTTCACATAGCGCCTTTTGGGAGGCCGCCGAGGGTATCATCCAGGTTGCCGACCGCAAGGAAGGGCCGCTGGCATTATTTGTCACTTTCGTCGCCAGCATCCGTCATGGAAAGAATGCCCATGCCGCGGTGTCTGCCAATGACGGCGTTCCGACTTTGGCAGCCACGAACAATTAGGGCGTAAGCTTCTTGTCCTCTACGAGATTTGGAAGTTAACAGAATTGCGATATTATAGTATCCCTGATGTTATTGGAGGCTGGGCGATGTCGCGCAGACTTTTCCTTTGCGAGCCAGGCGGAAACAACAAGGTTTCTCCGGGCAGAATGAAAGTCACGGACATGTCTCCATCCGCTGCAGCTGTCTGTAAGCCCTCAATCTGAACCGAACGCATTCCGTGTGTAAAACCTTCGTCGCATCGTCTGCAGGGTGTTTGGGGATCCGGCGCCGTACCCCTATCAGGTTGCGCTGAACGGCTCGTCGTGCTGCTGCGAGCATTCTAGACTCGGGAATGTTGCCGTGCCGGAACGAGTTCTTCGGAGGCGTGTACGATAGAGAGGGCTGGGGCCTGCGGTACGTTCTTCATGGTTCGATATCCCTAATTCGTGCTCCATCCTGAGCTTCTGGCCCAATGCTGTCACCAGGTCGCGTCGAACAGGTCACCACGCGCATGGCAGAACCATCCCGTGAACCTGCGCTCAAAAGGGACCCTCGATGTGTGACCTACGGAAGACCATCTGCACATTGCCTAGGGTATAATGCGTGGGCTTGATGGCAGTCGTTCTAGCTCCTCAACCCGCCGGTAGTCCCGCTGAAAACTGGGACATAACGGTCCCTGAGGCGCTGCTCGTCGGCCGCCATCGATGCGTCCTGCGGGTGCTGTTTCGCCAAATCCGGGCTCGGCAACAAACATCACAACGTTTCGCAGGCAGGCCGACAATTGAGGACACTTCGCCGCTCGTCAGGTCTAGCGACACGCCCTCCTGCGTCACAGCCCGGCTGGGGCATGTGACATGTGTGGCGGCATCCTAGTTACTGTTCACCACATTTTCCAACGTCAATCTCTGACGCAACATGTGTTTCCGCGCAATCTCCATCTCCCATGGCGGCTGGCTCTGGAGGCTCGGAGATTGTACGTCTAGCCTTGTTCCTCGCGGCGGCACGAGTCCTTAGGCCTCACGACCCGGCTCTAGCAGCGACGACTCGGACTTCGCAGTTCTCTCTGGCCCTCCTCGATGGCAGGATTCCTTGAAGTTTCCATCCACGATGCGGGTGTTTCTAAAACGCTCATGAAAGAGGATCCTGCACCCACCTACGACTACATCGTCGTCGGAGGTACGTCTGTCCGCGCTCTACTACAATCAGGATGCTTATTCAGGAGAGTATAGGTGGTACCTTGGGAGCTGTGCTCGCGTCACGGCTGAGCGAGGACCCTACTGTCTCTGTCCTCGTCCTTGAGAAGGGACAGGTGGTTGACACGTGGATAACCCGGATCCCTCTCCTTTTTGCAAACCCGACAAGCAAAAACTTTGTGAGTGTGAGGTGGATGTCTGCACCTCAGACGCACGCTGATAATCGAACATTGCCGATGGTCAGAGGCGAAGTCCTCGGGGGGGTAGTCGCATCAACGGCGCTCTGTACACTCGAGGTTCGTCGTACGCGGCTCACGTCCTATACATCATCTGATGAAACTGGTAGGTACTCCGTACGACTACAATCGGTGGGAGGAGTTGGGCAACGTTGGGTGGGGATACAATGATCTCGAGCCGTATTAGGTCAAGTCCGAGAATACTCTGACCCATCCAGCGTCCCGATTTCGTGGGAAGGAAGGTAAGCATGCTGTGGTCGCAACGGTCTTATGTCAAAGCTCAGTACTGCTAGGTCCATGGAAGAACAAGAAGGCCGTCGATCCGTAACTAGTGACATCCTAGTACGTCTCCGGTTGACCATCTGTTGTGGACGTTCCTGACCTGAAGGCAGTATTGAGAAAGCCTTAGGGCGGGCAGGGATAGAGCGCATCGGAGACTTCAACAACCCTACGGCACCTGCAGCCTGTACCGGTCTCCTGGATGTTCAGGGATGTTGCCGTCGACTCTGGCGCTTATCGCCAGTCAACCTACCACACGTTCCTTCCTCCTCAGTTAGTTAGGGAGCGTCGAAGCCGGCTGAAGGTTTGTACGAGAGCTGTCGTTGGCCGCGTGCACCTTGAACAGTGTGAAAGCGGGGTCAGAGCCACTGGCGTCTTCTTCCAATCCATGAATCCAAAATACGCTGGCCAGGAGTATTTCGCAAGGGCACGCAGAGAGATAGTACTGTGTGCGGGCGCACTTGTTTCGCCTCAGATTCTCATGTTGAGGTACGCTCATGAAACCTCCTTCCCGTTCATGTGAGCTGTAAGAATCTCAACGTAACCACTATAGCGGCCTTGGACCGAAGGACTACTTGGTAGAAAAGGGTATAACCGTCGTCCACGACATGCCAGCTGTCGGGTCTCACTTGGTGCGCTGTTCAAGCTCAGGTCATACATCCTGGACTGACGAGGACTCCAGCAAGACCACTTAGCGATGCCAGTCGAGTTCACCACACCAAGCAGTGACTCCCTCCACTACCTACTCTCGAGCCCGTTGCAAGCAATTCTCGAGTTCCTCAAGTACCTCTTGATGGGTGTCGGCATTCTCTCCCATGCGTTCCAATACAACTCCACCTTCTTTCCTACCCGCCTACTGCGCGATGACCTCACGATCGATAAGGACGACCCACGCAACAACGACACTTCCGTACCGGACAATCGTCCTGATATCGAGTACATGCATATCCCAAATGACTGCATCGGTGTCCAGGCGCCAGGGAAGGGTGCTTACTCGTTCCTCGTGACGCTCATACGTCCCAAGTCCGAGGGTACCGTTCGCCTTGCGTCCACGGACCCTCGCACACCACCCGCAATCGACCTTGGGTATCTCACGGTACCTGAAGACTACGCTCCTCTTCGCGCAGGCGTGCGGTTGGCTCTCCGAGTCGCCGAAGACGTCCGGAACCAGGGCTACCTGTTCGGGAATCTCCACGTTCCGGAGGCCGATACGGACGAGGAGATTGACAGATTCATTCGCAAGAATCTCATATCATGCTATCATTACACCTCTACCTGCCGCATGGGCAACAAGACCCACGGTGCTCGTCCGAGTGTCGTCGACGCCAAGCTGAAGGTACATGGAGTTCAGGGTCTGCAGGCTTGTGACGCCTCGGTCTTTCCTGAGATCATTTGCTCCCATACGATGGCTCCCTCGGTCATGGTGGCGGAGAAGTGTGCGGATATGATCAAGGCTGAGTACAGGGAATGAGACTGTGTTGTGACATGTGGTAGTCCCGTAGTTATAGGTTGTTTGTGATGTTCTCGTCATTGCACTCATCGGAGCTAATAAACGCAGGCGATGAGTCATGTACTTGTACAGCTGGCTCTACGATGGAATCATGCCCATCATGTAGCAACGGAATGGCATCACTTCCTAGACACTCCTGCACCTGCGCCAGGATATATGATACGTGTTGGAAGCTCAGCGGAGAGAAGTCAGAAGCTCTCTGAGTTTAGCAAGGAAATGATCAAACGCCCCCTCAGGAAAATGCCTCAAAACGCCATACACGAACCTGAGTCATTGTACCTGTGCATTTTGTTGGCAGGACGAGAAACACATCGATGCCCTGCAAGATGTCAGAGCTTGGAGGGACTTCGGTAATTCTCGACACACCCCACAAGTCCTTGATAAGTAGATTAACGACCAGGTGGACGGGTCTCCTGTAGAAGTTCGTGGGGAAAGAAGATGATTCTACCGCGGAGCCGCGGGAGTCTATATATACATGTACTACATAAAGACTATTGTAATGTAGATCCGAGACAGAAAGTGTAGTGGCATTGGTGCCACCGTCAAGCGTTCGCAAAGCGTGCCCAAAGCAGTAAGGCAAATGCGTGGCCATACTCCAACATCTCCACCGTCCAGCACGGCTGGAAGCTGATTGTCCTCGCACCTAAGGGACCAGGAGAAGTTGATTTGCAACATGCAATTTGAGCCCCGTACGAGCTCGAGGGATCGGCCTGCACCACAAGCTGGAAGGAAGAAGGGCGAGATGCGCGGACCGCACCTGGAGAAGTTCGACGTATCTCGCCCTGATGCTGAACTATCAGGAGCCGGTCGGTGTCGCGACTGTAGGATTTTTGCACGACGCCGGGTGCCCTGAGATAACCAAATTACTGAGTAGTCACCGGACAAGGCCACAAACTGTCGTCCGGCAGGCATAGAAAAGCCAGGAAGGTCCCCGAGACACTGCGCCAATGAGCAACTAGAGACATCACTTAAGCGAACTTCCTCGTTCTAGCTAGTGTGGACGACGTGGGCTTTCAGCTGCAATTTACGGCCCGGCAGCGGCTTGGGCCACAAGATGATATCACTACTCGTTTCGTCAGACAATTAGTTGTCGGGCCAGGACAAACGACAGACTATGGTGCAGTTCACTTAAACGCCTCCACTTTTGTACGCTGTTAGGCGCCGTGTCATAAGTCCTCCAGATATTCATGATTTCGGTCAATTTTGTGTGAATTGCAAGGAATTGAACAGAGGAAGCGATCCCCAAAGGGGATTCTCGATAGGGTGAGAACTGGCAAAAATGGCCGTACCAGTTCTGCCACGGCACGTGATCTGGGCGTCTATATCCCCAAAGAGTAATTTTATGCTTATATAATACCATACCATCGCCTGTACGGATCGGCATCCTTGAACTTGGACCATGCATGGGAGGGTTCAGACACTATCGTGTCGTGGGATAACGGCTCTATGGAGGTTCCTTGGGCTTGCACTTCCATCTGTGCAGCCTGGTAAGTAACGACAACCGATTCGAGCATACTGCCAAGTCACGTGACACATAAGCGCGCGCTTAATCGCGTACAAAAGTGGAGGCGTTTAAGTGAACTGCACCATAGTGGGATGCGAGCCTGAGTATTGGCCACCTAGGGTACCGAGCAAACGTCCATACTTTTCAAATAGGTCTTCACCCTTTTGATCGCCCATCGTGAAGCCAGCTAGGAAATATGATTAAATGAAGACGAGCAAATGCACACCTTTGAACACGATGGGTAGTCGAACAGACTGGCTCTCCACCTGCTTGAGACCGACTAGACATGTGGGGCTTCGAGCGATCGCTCACTTTGTCGGGTCCACTGATAGAATTGCTCCAACTATCAGTGGCCAAGATCAGTTGTAGGCTTTTGGAAGAAGGCATGGACCGACGTGCAAAGAAGCCGACCAAAGTACATTGATCATCCTGTTCCATCAGAGAACGGCTCGGAGAGGATCGATAAGCATTCGCATGAGACTGAATCACATACATTGGTTGGCAAAGCAACTCAAAGATTCAATTCCATCCTGAATCACTGACATGATTTGTATGGCGACCGAGATCGTGCCCGATTGGGCCAAATTGGAGCAGGTGTATGGAAGGGCCCACTGGACAGGAAGATGACGACGTCTCGACCTGAGTGCGGGGGGGAAGAGAGGTAACGACTCACTCGGACACAGGTCATACATTCAGTGTATGAGCTCGCCCATATTCTAGACGCTGCCAGAGACGTACGATGAAGAGATTCGACAATGAGCTTGTGGTCATCGCAAAAACTCTGGGGACGCGACTTATCAGTGATGAAATCCGTGTGGGCGGGCGATCTCCCCGAGATTCGACGCGCACCCGGTCTCATCTCTTGGGCTCTACAGGAGGACCCTGTCGGATTCGGACGTGACGAGCTCCCTCTGGAATTTGGACGCTTGGTACGGATTATATGTCTTGTAGAGCTGCCGATTATGGATGTGGCCGGATTGGGTTGGGCGTGGAGCAAGCGGTACCGCGAGGGCATGGCATATGCACAAAACATGATCATGGGGAAGACGAGCTGCAAATTATATAGTTCCCGCTTGTATTACACTGCTGGGTCTGCCGAAGATTGTCTGCGCAGAAACCGATGTTGTCCACGCTTCGTCGCAGGTGAACGGCATGGACAGGAATCGGAAGAGGATCCGGATAGAGCTGAGGAGGTCAAGGAAACCGTATGTCGCGGGTCTGGCGTTGAACAGGATGTGACATGCATTCATGCTTGCAGTGAGCGAAGCGCCAACTTCCAGCGAGGAAAGGGTAGCTGTTTATTATTCATATGGGACACCGTCTCGTACACACTCTAACAATTGGATGCATAGACATGGTATCCGACGCTCTCTTTGGATGGTCTATAGGTCGCAGTACTCACTTGTCTAATGCCCTCCTCCAGAAGTCCAGCACCCTCCTCACCGACAACAAGGTCAACGTCTCCAGCCTCACGTCCTTCAGCAGCGCACTCGCAGAAGCATTTTCCTTGCATAAGGGCGAAAGCTTCGCCACATATTGATACAGCAAGGTGTAAAGCCTCATCCCGGGCCTTGGGCGCGACATGCCATGATGATTGTCACGTTCGCCTGCGGATCGCCGAAGTTGGATCCATTCAGTTTGCCATTTGCCGGGTAAGGGTAGACTATGTCAGCAGCCTGGACGTAAGGAGATGGCCGCGCGACTGGAGGAGAGTGGAGGAGAGGTGGACCGGAAATCTATGGCAGAATGCCGACGTCGACGCTGAAGAAATTGGAACAAACGCTGAGCTTCTGTGCAAGCCTGAGGCAGAGCGTTACGCACCCTTTACAGCGGTAAACACATGTACGAAGGCTCTAGCCAAGGATCCTGGGAGCCCAGAGGTCGAGCGGGCAAGCCAGGCAGTAATCGGAGGAGGTGGAGAGGATGAGGGAAGCGTGGCAGGCTCTGAATCCTTCCACAGGCGCTTGCCAGTCGTGGGAATGATCGGCCTCGGTTCGGCGTCCCGGCTATGTTTGTCCTCGCCTCCTCCGAGTCTGTGTTCTTTTCGTCAGTGTGACTAGATTTCGGAGTCAGCACTTGACTGCTTCAGGCACAACTCGTGATGCATCAGTTCATGAAGTGCGCTCCCTATACTGTCTCTATATGTCGCCCTCATCCCTGCGGTGCTCCTCTCGTCGGTGTGACCAGGGCCCAGAGTCACCAGGGTATACTACGCGACTTCAAGTTTGTGCCCTTATGACTGAGTCTATGCAACTCAAGCCATCCAGACCCCCCGTTTGGACTCCCCACGGCTGGTATGTACTTCGCCTTTGCTCTATTCTTGTGGATATGCAACCTTGCCGACGAGATGTGCATCATGTGCAACCCTCCTAGCCTCCATGCGTTGCCTGGTACCTAGTCTCGTGCTTCTCGTACCAATCTGCGGGGCACAATGGGCTGCCTGGTTGCCTGTACGAGTTGTAGGAGGATGCTCGACGTGACAGGATCGTGACTTTGCTATTGGACGACGACTTGAATGGGGAGCAGTATGTACCATAGTACGTGGTGGGTGAATTGATCTTGCTTGATCTTCCCTTGTTTCACTGCTGGCAACACTGGCCTCAGTCTGCGCAAATGATTTCCCAGTCGCGCGATGGCAAGATCGCCTACATGTCTGCAAACACCTTATGAGTCCATGCGCGTCACTCTTTTGCGACACGTCCAGGAGGAGTTCTACAGTGTGGTGCTGCGCCGGATCGACCGGTCGCCGCGTGAGATATCGCTACCAAGTTGACGATGGAAACCAACAGAACTGCTCTTCCAAAGTAGACCAATGACGAGCTGGAGAAGTCTCATTCTGCGCGTGTCTATCCGGGTAAGTTGCTGGTAGTGTGGCCGCATGATCACGGACAGGACTTCCTTTGTGAGACAGGCGCAGGCCTGCAGGCAGCGTCCATGTCAGCTGTCAACCCATGCACTTGGATCTGGTCTCGTGTCATCTATGGCTGCGAGAGCGATTCGTCTACGCCCAGTCGTCTGCGGCGCCCTGCACGCGCCGCTGCATGGCGCAGGTGGTTTTGGCGGCCAGTGCGGGATTCTCACTCTCCGCTATTCGTGATTGTTAGTTTCGACGTGCGACTTTGCCATGCACGTGGTGCTTGCCTCTTCCAAGGCGGTTGCGCCGCTCTTGTCTTTCTCGGACCCCCGGATTCCACCGTATAGCAACTTCAACTTACTGGCGATGCTACTGGTGAATGGTGTCCAAGGAGGCTTGAGGAAAGTGCCCGCGTATACCTCCGGTCCTCTTTGTCACGGTTGCGACTGCCTCGTTCAATACAACTTCCGTCGAGATAGTCCCTGTAAGAAGTCTTCGACTACTGTATTCACAGTGAGCTCTACGTGGTAGTCTCTTCCCATGTTTTGACATTGATCTCCGGTGATATGTGATGCGGGAGAATGTGTGATAGCCTTACTGTATGACCGGGGTCCTCATGAGGTGTCATGTTGGAAAGAGCAATCAATGAGTATGATGCGGGTGGCCCATCAGTAAACCGTGCATTGGCTTAATGGCTTAGCTGTCACAGTTTTCTCGTGCCACGTGACCTGGGGGTCATGTGAACCAGGACAGACGCTCACCTTGACCATGGACAACTCATATCGGAAAGTGGAGGGGCCAGGATCGAACCCCAGACCTCGTGATGGCCAGGAGCGCCCATCCTCACTCACTGGCAGGTGACTGATGTGACAGCAGGAGCGCTTACTCATTGGAAGGAGTCCGGACTCGGCACGACTCAGGTATTAGTCGTAAGGTCACCATGAGGCAGGTCAGAGGGTAGGACATGAGGCAGAGAACTCTGACCAAACGATGGTCAATAGGTACCTGGTCTGTGCACCGTTGTATTAGTATATATAGTAGGGAGTCTGAGGCAGGGAACCTCAGACTTGATCTTCTCGTCGATCCCCCATCTCCTCTGTAGGTAGCTAGCAGCCCTACCTTCTACTGCCCCTTCTAGTCTAGGGAATACACCTCTTCACATCTCTTGCTGTGTCACCTCGGGTTGCTTCGCTTCTCAGCACCAACCTCTGCACCAGTAAGCTTTGCCCTTGTTTGTTTCGGTGGCACAGCTCGTTGGCTGTGACA